TAAACCCAAATTATACCGCATTATCAGTGTTCAGCCGTGGGAATAGACCGTGGGAATCACACAGAGCTTTTTCATCAAAACTGTATTTCAGTCTGGTTAGAGCTAGAGCCTTTGAAAAAAGCAGGACTGGTTCCTCTTATTAACTTTATCCCTTGGAAAAACAATTACAGATATTTCTTAACCCCCAAACACTAGATGCTAAGAATCTAAGCCAAAGTAATAAATGGATCCTTTTATCCACTTCCCCCAAATATCTTTGTAGCTACAAAATGGAAGAGTATTCACGACTGGCAGAATGAAACCTTTCATTGCTGGAGTCTGCAGTTTTCAACTCTGGTAAATTGTTTGGGGGATGGGAGAGCTCTGGACGGGGTCCCTGGTATAATTGTATTTTGTGGAAAGAAAAAGTGCTTGGATCAAGTAAAATGTGGTCAGTTAGAAGCTGACTTTGCCAGGATAGGAAAAAACTCGGTGTTAAATGATATTCTGATCCCCAAGGAGAAGCTGGGATAAAGACAAGCTACTGGAGGCAAAACAGAGGGCGCATGGACCTCATGGCTGAGATTCTGATGTTTTTCTAACTTCGCAATAATTCCAGAGTTAAGGTATATTTTGTGGTGTGTTTTTTTTTTCTTCGTGCTTTTTATTAACATACTTTGGTTACCACCCAAAAAATGGACAGAGGGCCATGGTAAACTGGTTAACTTGATCAACTTGGAGAGATCAAGTAATCAAGTAAGTTATCAAAGTAATGGGATGAAAAGAGAAGTGGTTTATGAGCCCAGTGCGGTAGCCTAGCAGCTAAAGTCCTCACCTTGCAAGCGCCAGGATTCCATATGGGCGCCAGTTTGTGTACCGGCTACCCCAGTTCCCATCCAGCTCCCTGCTTGTGGCCTGGGAAAGCAGTCAAGGACGGATCAAAACTTTGGGACCCATACCCACGTGGGAGACCCAGAGGAGGCTCCTGGCTCCTGGCTTCGGGTCAGCTCAGCTCTGGCCATTGTGGTCACTAGAGTGAATCAGCGGATAGAAGATTTTCCTCTTTGTCTTTCCTCCTTTTTGTATATCTGACTTTCCAATAAAATAAATAAATCTTTAAAAAAAAAGAAGTGGTTTTAAATATTTGGACTATAGAACTAGTTCAGCCAAAAGTTAGAAACAAACTATAATCTTGGGAAGGTTGTTTTCCATCCCTGGTCTCAATTCTGCATATGAAAAAGTTAAGAAAGGAATTAAGTCAGTGGTTGTCTGTTTGTCTTCCAAAATATTCATCAAGTTTATAATTTCTCAAGGGCCATTCCGGAGCCATTCTCAGTTGTCTAACTTGAATCCTAACCTTTTCTTTCCTTTTCAAAAATGCATGTGAGAATTCACATGAGGGAGGATACCTTTACTTTCCCATGAAATCCTGAACTGATCTCAGAAATGTGGGAAAAAATCCATAAATCATTTCCAAATTTATTTATTTTACTATTAACTAAATAGTGATGTTGATAATAATTTACGCGAAACTTCCCACACTGTTGTCACATTCCCATATGTGACACAAATTGTTGATCACAGCGTGACAAGGGCATTTTTAAGCCATTTCACATCATCAGCGTCCAAAAATCTGAAACTTCTCATGTGGAAATTGAAGAATTCCAAAGAGGGCTAGATTTATGCAGGCCTTCCATTAAAGAACTGGAAGCCTGAAACTGTTAAAAAAAAATCTGTGGCTTATTTTACTTTAGCTAAATTTCCAAATTACTAAAAAACAAAAACAAACTAGGAGAGAAATTTGACTGTTGGCCAAAGGAAATATCATGATGCTTTCCTAGTCTATATCAATCCCCTGTGTGCTTTTTTTTTTGAAGTTAGGATGCATGTTTTAAAGTTTGTATTTTAAGTTTCTACATGAACGTGCGTGAGCATGCAATGAGCAGTGTTACGTTTCTTCTTTGCTAAAGCAGGTATGATGTGGAATCGCTTTGTTTGTCCCCATGTGCTGGATGGGGAAAACATAATGAATTATGTCAGCCCTTACAGAGTGTGCAATGAAATATCTCAAAGCCAGTCCGCCTCCAGCCTCAGTCCATAACCTCCACAGTATCGGGTGGCTTAGTCCAATATTCTCCAAAGAAATTTTCTATTTGTGAGATGAAATTGAACAGCGCTTACAAACTGGTCTCTGATAAAAAGATTTTTTTTTTAAGTGGTTTCATCAAAACTCGGAAGTGATTTCCCTACCAGGTAACACATCATAGGATGCTCTCCAGTATCCAGGCACAGCGAGGCGCAGTGCACTGTTTGTGAGATGGAAAGCCTATGGAATGGGTGTTTTCAGAAATCTTGGCTGTCTGATCCTATTGATTTTGTTAAAATTAATAGACAAAATGATTGATCCAGGAGCCTGCCTGGCTGTCTTCAGCCTCGATTAAGCTCTTATTTTATCATGTTCACGGCAACATGGCTGTTGGCTTCACACTTGTGTGATCCCTGTTTTGCGCCATTGCCAAACCCTAAGCACCTATTTCCTATTACTTGCTAGTAGCAAGCTCACATGGAATGTTGTATAACAAGGAACTTTTCTGAGAGATGAGGAAAAAAAAAAAAAGATTTTGAATCTCGGTGGAAGGCTGACAGTAAAAAGTGTCACAGGCACAGAGTTGACAGGGAGAGATTTTCTCTGCCGCTGGGGGGCTTATCAAATGTTGTAGGTTTTATTGGAGTTAAATATGTCTGAGTGACAGACTGGGGAAGAAAAACACTCAGGCTGCATGAGAACGCCATGTCGAAACCATCTCAACATTATCTAATTTTTCCTACACACTGATGCTACTGAGATTGTACAACATGCGTTATTTGAGGTTCTCATATTTTAAAAGCTAAATTTACCTTGGGCTGATTTAATGATGCTTTTGCTTCAGCCCCAATTCACTGGGAGAGATGGCTAGACAAAATTTTCAGAAATTCTTTTCCAGAAGTGAATATAGCCAAGAGAATATTTGTAAATATCAAAAATAATCCAATTATTTGGAAGAGATTTTACTTGTAAAATATAATCTGTAGTTCTTGTAAAGAGTAATCACACATCACTGTAATTTTCAAAGAAGAGTTCGAGTGTTGTGGCATGGCATGTTAAGCCACCACCTACAGTGCCATCATCCTATATGGAAACAGCGAATTTGAGTCCCAGTTACTCTTTGGTTCCAGCACCCCGATAATGCTACAAAGCATCCCAGGGAAACAACAGAAGATGGCCCAAGTGTTTGGGCTCCTGCCCCCTCCACGAGCGGCCTGGGTGAAGTTCTGGGCTCCTGGCAGCTCTGGCCATTATACACATTTGGGGAGTGAACCACTGAATGGAAGATCTCTTTGTCTCTCTGTCATTCACTCTGCCTTTCACATAAATGAAAAGAAAATCTTCTTTTAAAGGAAGTCTAAGTTTAAATTACAAGCTTTGCTTATTCGTTTGGTGATTATGTTCAACTCAGTGACGATTTTTTGTTAAAAATTATAGAATAAATTGTCATCTCACCATTATCCAATGTGACTCAGTGAGATGGAATGACAAAATAAATATTGCTTTGTTAGCTCACACGTTTCATGCACACTATGTCATTATCAATCGCTGGATTGTGACTTCATGTGCGTGGAATGAAGCATCATAAGCTTTTTTGATCTCTGTGGCTCTAACGCCTTGCATACAGCATGGCACAAAGTACGTGCCCAATAGACACTTGTTGAATGGATGCTTGAATCACTTTGAAACGCAAATATTCTTTTCCCCATTTTATCAGTGAAGCATCATTACAAGAAGTGTAGTGATTTTCTCAGGGTCATGCAACTAGCAAGTGCTGGTGCCAGACCCTAAACCCAGTTCCTTAGATGCCGAAACCTGAGTTTTTATCCAGATAATTGGCCTGTGTACTCTGGATCTGGCATTAATTGGTAAACCCCCAAATCCCTGGCCGTCACTAACCTTATCTATAGAAATAAGAGTAGGCCCTATTTTATGGCTGGGCGGGCTCACCTCAGTCTATTTCTGTGGGTTTACTTCACAGCACATACAATATCATCCCTGCTTCTGAAAGTTTTATATTCACTTTTAAAAGTGGTGCTAACGGTAGAGTCCAGAGAACCGACCAGAATGTCGGATGATCCACGGAAGGGAGGCCAAGGCTGCTCCTACAAGCACACTGCTGAACACTGCAACAAAGCTTCAGATTGGGAAGACACTGTTCTGAGATTGGTTTAGGTTGTTTATAGGCTCTGAGGAGATGAATTCAATCTGATTAGTAACATTTAACTACTCTAGAAACTTTGTAGCAGTGATGCCTGTGTCAGTGGGCTTTGCTTACCCAGCTAACTCATCTCCCTGTCCCTTACCCCTTCCCTGCTGACACACTCCATGAGTTCAACCCAGTGTTTAATGGCTCTAAGCAGGATTATTAATCTTTTATCGTGAGTTTGCTGAAGCTGTCTTTTTATTAGCACATGCCATCAAGAAATTCAGAGCTGCTTTTCAAATCTGGATTTTATAAAAACAAACCAAAAAACTGCTATCCCCATCACATTCGGTGCTGCTTTGCAACACCTTTGTAAATATTTATCTAATTGTTATTTGGCGTTAGACTTTGTTTTAAGGACCCGATTAGTCCTGAGAGTGATACGCTGTATTCCAACAAGCCCCAGTACAAGCTGAAGGCCCTGTGTATATTAATCTCACTAATTTCCTTCAACCGGTTGCTTGCTTAGAATGTACACAAACGGAAGACGTCCAGAACATTTACCCATTATACCTGTTGTGGTTAGCTTCCCCCACAGCGCACGATGGAATCTGATTACAGGACGACTGAGAAAGGAAAGCTCAGCTGGAATTAGACAGCTGTCTCAAGCGTGGAGCATGCACTGCACTCTGCAGAAAGAGGCCTTTGTGGCCTCACTCCTCTGCAGATTATCTTGTCTTTCATCACTACAGTTCCCAAGTCAGAGTCAAATCTCTGGCTATCACTTACCCAAAATGTCGCACCATGAAATTGGGAGCATTCCGAAGTGCGGTGTTGTTCAGCAGGCTCCTCAGATTAAACAGCATCTTCTGCTGTGAAAAGGACGATTCTATGTCTCGAAAGCGCCACAGCAAGGTAGCCAGTGGGGGCCACCTGAAAGCTAAGAACGCTACTGATTGCAGTGCAGGAGCAAAGGTAACTTCACCCTTCAACTATCTTATCAGATCCCCTGGTTAGCAATACTGTGAGGCAGGGTGCAAGAGCGTTTGAACTTTAAGCTAAGCTCCGCCACTGTGTTTTTTTTTTTCTTTCGAGAAAAGAACCCTGATGCTTTTGGTGCCCAGCTTCCTCATTTTTCATAATATATTTATGCTGTCACATGCTTGCATAAAATCAGTTGACAAGTACTCACGGAGCAGATAATATATGCAGTGCACTGCAGAGCTGACGGCTGTGAAGGCACATAGAAATAACTCATTCAGAAAAATGTGAATTGGCAGTGCGAAACCCGATATTCACATGACAGCCCTGAGTATTTCCACTGATTTCACCTTTCTACCTCGAAGTCTCAACCTTTTCACAAAAACAAATGGAAAACAATGCCCTTGGAGATTCTTTTTCTGAGATGATGAGGAGAGGGGAGGAGTGGTTGGCAGGGAACATAAGAAGGGGACAAAAATATAGTAAGTTCTCAGTCTTGGAGTTCCCTCCGTGCCTCACACATGGATCTTCAATCAATCAATCAATAGTCATCTATTGATTCTAGCAAGGTCTTACAGCCTGTGAACTCTACAAAGATGAAATAATCTTCCTTCTTTGATTTTTCCAGTGAACCCTGATGTCTAACACAGAATTGGCTTCGAAAACATCCAATTCATAACTATGAAAAACAAGTGAATGTGAAGCTAACAGTGATTCCTTAGGAAGCTGGAGAGGCTGCTAGCAGAGGGCCATATGGTACTCCTCCCTTCATTGCTATTGACTTTGGGCCCCTGGCAGCATTCTCAAAGCTGGAAGAAGCTACAGAGGAAGAAAAGAAACATTGGAGTAGATCCAGAGAATAGAACAAATAGAGTGTGTAGGAACAGATGGACTGACCATTTAAACAAAGCCCCATCCAGCACCAAGAAGGCTGTGAAAACACAAAACAAAGTGTCTGTCATACCCCCTTTGGTATTCAGTCTTCCACTATGTACTTGCCACTTAATACAAGCACCTGCATTCCTCCCTCTTTGTGTTGGCAACTACGAGGCGTGCTTTACACCTTCTCTCTAAGGTCTTCTGTAGCAGTGAGTCTCGATTGCCCACAACAGTGATCTGCTCTGAAGTGCACCCCGTGTTAATGGGCTTCCCTTCACTGTCTCACTTCCCCACTAACCTGTGAGTGCTTCCTAGCATCACCTCCCAAACAAATTATTTGAACTCAAATCCCCTTCTTGGTGTTGACTTCTGTGAAAATTCAGTCTTACCCCTGGCCCCTTTCCCAAGTAGTTTTCAACCATCTGCTTCTTATTCTCTTCTCCCAAGCCCTCCTATCTTTGACCTTGTACCTGGGCTTTCAGTGTCAACATTGGCCTTGTATACCATATTACAACATTACACTTAATTTAGGCCCCATTAGTCTGAAACTATTAGTGGGCTGATAAAATGTTTAATAAACAGCTCTTCTAAAACAATAAGAAAGGAAGAAAAAGGAAGAAGGAAGGAAGGAAGGAAAGAGAAAGAAAGAAAGAAAGAAAGAAAGAAAGAAAGAAAGAAAGAAAGAAAGAAAGGACAGTTCTACATTGTAGCATTGTCTGACTTTTTTATGGTGTAAAACCTCTACCAAGCCAACTAATGCAGCATAATTGAATGTGGAACTGGGAAGACAGATGTAAAATTGGCTCTTGTGTGCCAGTGAGGGCTTGGTCCAATACACCGCTGTCTGTAATTCCCACCCAGAAAGTAGGATTATCTCATAGTTTGTAAAGGAACATTGAAGGCCTATTCCAGAGATCTTGGAAGCCAGACTTTAGAGTTAAGAATTTAATCTGTAATCAAAGGGAGACTGCTAAGGTTCTGCAGCTGAGGCGGACAAGAGGACAATGTCATTATTATCTTGACTGCAGTTTACTAAACATTAATCCGGTTGTATCCTGTAAAATGGGGGAGAAAATGGAGGCAAACAGACAAAGAAGTTGTTATGTGATAACAATGGCCTGAACATATACTAAAGTTGTCAAAAGAAATAGAAAAGGGGGGGATGAATGCAAGAGAGATTTAGGGATTAGAATCTACTCAACAGGACGACTGACTCAGAGCAGGAAGATGGAAGAGTTAGAGAAATCCCAGGAGTTCAAATCTATCCTAAAATTCTAAAGAGTCAAATGGTACCACAGAAGATATAAATAATTGTGATTTTCTGACATATAATGTTTATAAACATCATGTATGAATTTGAAATATATCTTTGAAATGCCATGTTTTTCCTGAAACGCAATCCTTAGAGAGGCAAACCATGTGCTCTAAAAGGAAAGGGAACCAATACTGTCATTTCTATTTTTGGTAAATGACTGTACTTTATATGTTTCCTCATTTAAAAAAAATTAAGCTAGCACACAAAAACATAGCCATTTTGGAATGTGGTATGGAATGTGCAGATTTCTGTAACCATCACCACAATCAAGGAAAAGAACAATCCCTACACTTCAGAAAACTTCCGTTTTCAATACAGTAGTAATTGTATCCCCCCTTTTCCCCCAGCCCCTGATATAATGTATTATTCTCTCTTCCCTATAGGTTTGCTTTTTACAGAATATAACATAGAGGCATGTCATCTTCTGACATGATCTTTTTCCAATGAGCACAAAGACTTGGAGACTTAATCTACTACATTGTTGCGTTTACTGCCAGTTTGTTGCCTTTTATTGTTCAGCAGTATCCCATTGTTTGGATATAGCAGTTTATTTATGCATTTCTTTACTTTTAGGCTGCTTCCCATTTGGGGAGTTGTTGGAGCTTTTTTTTTTTTTTTTTTTTGGAAGGCAAGATTTATTTATTTCTTATTGGAAAGTCAGATGTACAGAGAGGAGGAGAGACAGAGAGGAAGATCTTCTGTCCACTGGTTCACTCCCCAAGTGGCCACAATCGCCAGAGCTGAGCTGACCCAAAGCCAGGAGCCAGGAGCCTCCTCTAGGTCGGCCACGCAGGTATAGGGTCCCAAGGTTTAAGTCTGTCCTCAACTGCTTTCCCAGGCCACAAGCATGGAGCTGGATGGGAAGTGGGGCTACCAGGATTGGAACCGGCACCCATTTGGGATTCTGTCACTTACAAGGTAAGGACTTAAGCTTCTGGGCTACTGCTCCAGACCCATTCATAGAGCTTTTGTGTATAATTTTCTTTCTTCTTTCCTGCCTTCCCTCCTTCCCTCCCTCTTTTTTTCCTTCCTTCCTTTCTTCCTTCCTTCTTTCCTTCCCTCCTTCCTTCCTTCCCAAAGCACAAGAAAAGGGAGGAGGAGAGGAGGAGCAAGCACGTGCACCTGAGACACAGGGTTTCTTCCCTTCATTGATTTGGGCCAGGCCCAAGGCTGGGGGCCAAGAACTCCATCCAGGCCTTTTGTGTGGGCTAGAGAGACCCATGGACTCCAGTCATTGTCACTGCTTCCCTGTGTGTGCATTTGCAGGAAGCTTGAATCAGGATGGGAGAAAGGATCCAACTCCAGGCACTCCAATATGGGATGTGGGTTTCTGAACTGGCATCTCAACTGCTTCCCAGTATATCGACTTTTGGGAGAACATTAAGTTTTATTATCCTTTTTAAATATTTATTTTATTTTATTTATTTAAAATGCACAGAGAGGGGTAGGATACAGAGAGCAAAAATGAGAGTGAGAATGAGTGAACGAGTGAGAGAGAGAGAGACAGAGATCTATTTTACTGGTTTGCAACCCAAATGGTCACAATGACCAGGGCTGGTCAATGCTGAAGTCAGGATCCTGGAACTCCTTGCGCGTCTCTCATGTGGATGGTAGACACTCAAGCACTTGAGAATTCATGTGCTACTTTCCTGCACACATCAGCAGGGAGTTGGATTAGAGGCAGGGCCAGCCAGGAGTTGGACTGCCGTTCTGATATGGGATACCAACATTCAAAAGAGTGGCAAAAGCTATTATGTCACAATACTGGCCCCAGCTTCATTTAGGATGAATATCTTGGAGTAGAATGGATGAGTTAAATGGTAACTGTATGTTTACCTTTTGAAAATACCATCACACTATTTTAGAGTGACTGTAATTTTCTGGTGCCAGCAATATTCCATGAGAGTTCCAGTTGCTCCATATTCTTGTCGGCACTTGGAATTATCAGTTTACATTGATGTCACTCTAATAGTTATGGGAAAAATTGATTTTTCATTTGCATTTTACCAAGGGTTGATAATGTTGAGCATCTTTTCATTTGCTTATTTGCCATCCATGTATATATATTATTTGATGAAATTACTATTAAATTTTTGTGTCTATAAAATTGTTATCTTCTTTTAAAAATATTTATTATTTCTATTGGGAAGGCAGATTTACAGAGAGAAGGAGAGGTAAAAATCTATCTGCTGGTTCACTCCCCAAGCGGCTGCAACCACCAGAGCTGAACCGATCCAAACCCAGGAGCCAGGAGCTTCTTCCAGGTCTCCCATGCAGGTCTAGGGTCCCAAGCCTTTGGGCCATCCTAGACTGCTTTCCCAGGCTACAAGCATGGACCTGGATGGGAAGTGGAGCACCTGGGACAGGGACTGGCGTCCATATGGAGTGTTGGTGCATGCAAGGTGAGGATTGAGCCATTGAGTTATTGTTTTGGGCCCTATTTATTTTTTCTTCTTCTTCTTTTTTAAAGATGTATTTATTTTTCTTGGAAAGGCAAATAACTTTCTCTCAACATCCTCTGTAACGGTCTCTTTGTAACTATAACTTCGCCTTTCAAATGAATACATCTTCAAAAAATTTGAAAACACTCTGATCAAGTTCAATTTTTCATTTATTCTTTTTTATTGATCACAGAAAATGCTGTCAGAATTATGGCTGTGAACTCTGCATAACCTAAGATCACAAGGATTTTTTCCTAATGTCTTCAGAATTTGTTGTGGTCTTGTACCTTATATTCATACCTACAATCCAGTTGTGTTAGGTTTTGTCTATGCTAAATTTATCATTTTCCCTCACCCCAAACACGCATGTAGATGTCCAACTTCCTTTTTTTATAAGAGCCCTTTATGTTTTAGGTCACTGAAAATCCATAAAGTTTTATGCATTAACATCTTCGTA